GCTGTGGGCGAGCAGCCGGGCCCAGCACCCCAGGCCTTGGCCACGTTTCAGGAGCAGATGGCAGCGCACGGTACTGATGGGTAGGTCGGGGGAGCAGGCGGTGCCCCGCACCGACTCCTGTCTGTCTGTTTTCAGAGGAAACCCACAGAGGAAACCCCGCAGGAGCGTGGTGAGTAGTCGGGTGTCCTGTCACGTCTGGCAAACGGCCCTGTAAGTGGCCTGGCCCCGTCCAAGTCACGTGGAAGGCCGAGCAGTCCCATACGGTTATCCCGTCGGCTCGTGAGATCAGGGAAATAATTAACAGCGCTGCAAGGGCAAAGTTACTCTCAAAATCCCAGTTGTAAAGCCTCCGATTTTAGGCACAGCTTTTAAATCCCCCCCTTTCAGATCCTTCTCAACCCTCAGCACCAGGAAGCTGCTCAGATGAGTTCCAGAAGGTGACGATGGGGAGAGGGTGGCGGCAGGGCCACTGCCAGGAAGAGCTTTGGCAGCCAAGGGCGGTTTAATTTGAAGCCTAAGTTCGGGCAGACCCCTGTGGTCAGTTAGCAGCGCTTTTGATCCAGGTTCTGTCTTTAGTGCCGGTCAGTTTTCTTCCACCAAACGTCCCTCTGGGAGCAGAGTGGCCCACGTGGGCTTTTCCTGCTGATGGCAGAAACCGTAGTTGCAGCTTTGTGGCTTCTGTTCTGGGGGCCGGAGCCCAGAGCTGCTCACTGGGCTGGCCTGCAGGCTGGAGGCATCGCCCCAGGAACACTTCCTGCCCCCCTCCCCGTCGTCTCCGGTCCAGAGAGGGCCCTGGCCACGTTGCTCTGCACTTCTAGGAGTGGCGTTCCCTCCCAACGTCCAGATCACACCTGTTTTCCTGACTGAAGAGGAAGCTGCCAGTCTCCGCGAGTTCCCCCGGGAACCCCCGGCCAGGTAAGGGGGCTCACAGAGGCTCCTCTGAATTCACGTGTCGGGCACTCCCTCACACGGGCTCATCCAGAAGTCCCGTGCATCCCATCCTCCCACGATTCCCTCTTCTCCACGCTCTGCCCTGGCCGGGGCGGGGGCGATGGAGAACTGGACCTTCAGCAGAGATGAGGGGCATCTGGCAGAATGAGACAAGCACAGGTTTCAGATCTGTGATCCGGGGCTTACCTGCTCTGTGACCATGGGCAAGTCCATTCCCTGCCCGAGCCTCAGTTTTTCCATCTGTAAAATGGATCCAGTAATGTTTGCATCTCGGGTTCATCATGAAAGGTGGAGACAGCACATGTGCAGCACCCCATATAGGACCGGACTCACAGTTCACCCACAGACGTGGGCGCCTCTGATTCAGGGGGCTCTGCCACTTCCAATGGATGATCCTGGTGTCACCACGTGACACCACATGGCGCCAATGCCCATTATTTTTAGGGAAGTGCTACTTCAGTCTCCCCTGGGGCAGGGCCCTTGCCCACCCTCAGTCACCTGTCCTTCCTCGCCAGCACTCCGGCGTCTTCAGCCAGACTCCAGGAGCCCTCAGCTGCCCCGAAAGAAAACGCCCCCGGACACGTGGGATCCAAGGATCAGACCTCGACAACCACACCTGCACCCCCGTCTCCTGATGCCGCCTGGGCAGACGGCAGCAGGGAGAACGGGCACCGGTCCGACCCTGGCCTGGCGAACACGCTGCCCACAGCGCTGCACTGCGCTGCCGCGGGCAAGGGTGTGGGTTTGTTCGGGGGGAACGGGGACCTGGACTTGTCTGAAATCCACATCCCAGAAACTCAGAAAACAGAAGCATCCCTGAGCCATCCTGCTGCAGACGGCAGGGGTCCTGGTTGCGAGGAATCTGTCCACGACCCCGGCAGTCCCGGAGCCAAGCCGCCCGGGTCCCTGCCCCTGGGCTGCCTGCCCGCCTCTGCTCCTGAGGCAGTCCCCCAGAATGGAGCCCTCACGCAGCCCGCAGACCTTCCTGGCGACCTGGAAGACCCCGGCAGGACGAGCGGGCCTGGGCGGGCACCTTGCTTGGGTTTGAGGCAGAGGCGCACCCAGCTGCCCCTGGAGGAACAGAGCGAGGAGCAACGCGGCAGTGGGGCTCCCGAGGGCCGCTTGACCCTTGGCCCGGACTCAGCAGACCCCTCAGACGAAGGCCCCTCTGCAGACAGAACCGCGTCCAGGGTGAGTCCGGCCTCCCGCGAGGGGCTCGTGCGGATGAACCTCTACACGCACAGCGTCAAGGGCCTGGTGCTGTCGCTGCTGGCCGAGGAGCCGCTGCTGGGGGACCGCGCGGCCGTGGAGGAGGTGGTGAGTGAGCAGCGGGGTGGGGGGCCGGGGCGGGGAGGGGCTCAGCTGTCAGCTGCACGGCCCGGTGCCGACGTCCTTGTTTATCCGGTGGGGTGCGGGGGGTGCCCACCTCCCTGTTTGTGGGCGGTGAGCGTCCAGTGCTGAGCACAGAGCCAAGAGCAAAGGCGGTCACCAGGGCTACCCTCTCCAGCTTCCCCACTTTCTCGGGGCCCCTGGTTCATAGTGAGCGGGAGGGTGTTGGGCACTGACCACACACAGCCTCACCCCCACCCAGCAGCCTTCATCCCTGTGTGGCGGGAGTCTGCGCATGTCTCCACCGGGGTTGGGGTTCTCTGCGAGCCCAAATTCCCGTCTGTCTGAAGCTCACTCCTAGGAGCCTGGGCCCTCTGAAATGCTGACTGGCTCCAGAAGGCGCCGCTCAAACCCTTGCAGCTCTCCCCCACGCCTAGAGGCTCACAGACCTCTGGGCTGGGGTCCACACTGGATCCAGTTGCCATAGTAACGGCCTTGCTTTAGTTGCCAGGGAAGCAGTGGTGGTAAGAACAGCAGGTTGAGACTGCTGCAGGGCAAACAGCATCCTGGGGCTCGCAGTGTTTCTGTCCTTCAATCTATATTATGCTGAGCCCATCTTATTAGCATGCCAGACCTGTGACCCTCTGTAAAGGAGCGGGTCCCCCTTGGCGCGCAGTGGAGGAGGAAAGGCGGGTCCCCGCATAGAGCCCTCCCTCACCTGCCTGGCTCCTCTCCCCTTTTCCCAGGCCCCAGGTCACCCTCTCCACCTCCGTCCCCCTGGCTCTGACTGACATCCCTCCCCGCCTCATGGTAACAGCGGGGGCCACGGATGCAGCTCTACACGTCCGTCCCCACCCCTCCCCCCACACCTCAGTCTCATGGTCTGTTCGGCTTTGAGCCCAGATCAGACGACCCCCAAGATAAAAAGAAAAACCAACACAGGCTGCTCAGAGAGGAGAAGGTAAATTAAGGTGCATGCTGCATTTGCTGTATGTAAATAATTTACATCCGCTACTTCCACCAAGCCTTGAACAGCGCTGGGGGCCGACACGGTGACGCCCATCTCACCCTGAAGTAGCCATGGAGACCTAGCTAATGCACAGGGCGGGTCCACACCTCCTGCTGTTTCCCGGCCCTCACCCCGACCCGTCTGTCTCCCGTGGACCTGACGGTGGCCCGGCAGGTGGGAAGGTGAAGGACTGAAGGCCCTGCCTTCCATGGCCCTTTATACATGGACGTGACACTGGGTCTGTCATGGCCCATCCTGGTGTCAGGACAGCGACCTCCCTGGGCTTTCATGGACAGGAGGGTTTAGGGTTGGGGAGAAGAGAGAACGCAGCTTTATGGAAAAGGAAAATCAGTCTTTGCTAAAAAGAGCAGGGCATGATGGACTTTGATCAGCTTGCCAGTTTGAGAGTGGAGTTGGCTGATCAGACCCGGAGGCCGTCTCCTTTATAACTGGCAGAGAGCTTTCACTGCCTTTCGGTCCCGGATCAGCACACAAAACAGTTGACCTGATTTCCCCCCAGACTCTCTGCGGCTGTCCGAAAAGCCACCCCCCGCCCCCAGCCTGGTGCAGGAAAGCTCGGACCTGACCATGAGCGCAGTCTCCCCGGGAAGGACACGTCGCCATGGCTCCCTGTGTCTTTCCGCCATCCCGTGTTTGCGTGGACCAGCTGCTACCGTTTCTGCTTGCTGAGGGTGGGGGCAGGGCGCTGGGTGTGGGGGGGGGGGTGAGCGGGGAGCAGCCAGGGAGAGGTCCCGTCCCCCCCTCCCCTTTCAGAGGGAGCAGAGTCGGCTCCCGCCACCAGGGGGAAGCAGAGAGCCACTGACGGCTCCCTGCTCAGAACCCCGAGGTCGTCATCTCAGTGCCCTTCGGCCACAGTGATGGGGTCAGTTGTTCATTCTACAGCAGGGCGCGGAGCTGCGCGCGCAGCAGCCGAGGCCCGAGGTCAGTGTTGGCAGAGACTGGAAAAGGGCCCCTCTTCCCTGAACCTCGTGCTTCTGAGCACATGGGTGTCCCCGCAGCGACTCTTGTGCATGTTTGGGGGCGCACTGACAGCCACTGGCTTTCCTGTGGACTAAAAGGCAGGGGTCCAGGCACAGCCTCAGCTCCGTGTCCCCTAGCGTGTTGCGCGGGTCACGTATGTGGTCGCGCGCCTCAGGGGTTGGCAGACTCTAGCGTGAAGGGACACACAGCAGATGTTTTCGGCTTTGTGCAGCCCTTCCCCTCTGCTGTTTTAATACAAAAACAACCATAAACAGTATGTAAACTGGGGCTATGTTCCAGCACCGTTCATGGACACAAAAATCGGAACTTCATGTAATTGCACATCATAATATTCTTTTGACTTTTTTTCCCTAACCATATAAAAATATAAAAACCAATCTCAGTTCTCAGGCTATAAAAATGGTCCACGGGCCGTGTTTGCCAACCCCTAGTCCAAGCAGCAGCAGCAGTCCGAGCAGGGGACGCTGCCTGTCCTCCTGGACACTGCCTGTCATGTGTACCCGTGACTAACTCACAGCCTGCAGCTGCCGATGCCTAGTTCACGCTCTCGGTCCAGTCCCCAAGTGGCTGTTGACCGGGCACCTCCTGGGAGCCAGGCTGGCTGCTGGGCCCTGGGGACGCCACGTAAACCTTGTAGCCAGACCTAATGCCTGAGTATCGTTTCTGCAGCATGGGCCAGAAATGCTAATTTAAGGCCAGGACGCTCCCCAAGATAACACCTGAGCTTTATGACATTCACCTCAGAACATTCTCCCTGCATCGCTGTACCTTTTTACATGCGCTTAGTTTTTTACATGGCTGTTGTGAAATAAGTCAATCCACAGACAAGTCTTGTTAGTCCAGGGACTGGTGCTCATGGAAGAGATACTGCTTTTTGAAGGACGATGATTTTTATATTCTTGACTTCAGGAAAACGCCTCCCTCCGGGGAGCACTTTAGAATAGACAGAGTGTACATATGTTATTTGACCTCCACCACTCAGCAATGATATTCCTATTTTGCGGATGAAAAGAACAAGGTGCAAAAACCCCTGTAACTGGCCCCGGTGGTCTGGCTAGGATGAGGCTGAGCCATGGGGTCATTTACCTGGGCGCTAGCCGCTGCCGCCTTCTGACTTCGGTGGCCCCCGGGGCAGGCCCATGAGGCCCTGTTTCAGGCTGAGTCCATTGGGCATGACATCCCTGCCTGATGGGCCCCAAACAGAGCTCAACCGTTGGTCGTTGGAAAATGTCGTTGTGGGAAAACAGATTGAAGAATGAAGTTCAGGGTGTATCGTTAGGTTGCAAAACTAGCATCAGTCGTTGCTTACAGTCTGACCTCCATCTTTAGCTTATAAACAATGACTCATAAGAAACGAGACAGTCCTGTGTTCCCAGGGCACCTGCACGTGACATCCCCCTGGAGGCGATGGACCATAGAGGCGCCTGGGCCTCGGCTCCCACGGCCTTCCTTAGCCGGGCCCTCCCCTGGGCCAGCGACCGGAGAGCCGCGCACTCGCGGCCCTGGGTCCGCTCGGGTTCCGGGGAGGGAGGAGGCCGCACCGCACACGCGGATGACGTCATGACGTCTCTGTCCGGCTGAGACGCGCGGGGTGGGGACGCGGCGGCCGCGTGGTGAGGCGGGGACGGGCCGCCTGCCGGCAGCTCTGCCTGAATGCTGAGATTCTGGGCTGTTTTTCTTGGCTTTTTTTCCTTTTTTCCCCTTCTTTTACTTTTCCACAAGTTTGAAGAGGTTTCTCTGGTCGCTCAGACGGTAAACAATCTGCCTGCAATGTTGGAGATCTGGGTTCCGTCCCTGGGTCAGGGCGATCCCCTGGAGAAGGGCATGGCAACCCACTCCAGTATTCCTGCCTGGAAGATTCCATGGACAGGGGAGCCTGGCAGGCTACAGTCCACGGGGTCGCAGAGAGTCAGACATGACTGAGTGATGAACGCTTTGAAGAGGTTTAGGACCTCAGGGCAGAAGTCGGGACCTCTCCAAACACGGGTCCTAGCACCCGTGGCGCTGTCAGGTGGCCGGGCGGCTCTCCCCGCGTGGCCTGCTGAGTGGCGGCGGCCTGTCCCCTCCCGCCCCGCAGTACCACGGCAGCCTGGCGTCCCTCAACGGGCTGGAGGTACACCTGAGCGAGACGCTACCCCGGGACCAGGCAGCCCCCGCGGCCAGAACCTACAACTTCGCACACTACGACCGTGTCCAAAATGTGCTGGCAGGTAAGGGGCACCTCCGGGAGGCGGGTGGGGGGTCAGAACCCGGGCCCAGCACCCTGGTGGGGGGGTGGGGGGGGTGCCCCGTGGTCAGGATGCTCTTTCCCTCTCGGAGCCCAGCTCTCACCGGGTTTAACTGCTCTCGGCAAACTCTTCCTGACTGGTCTGTCTCTTTCTGGCCCTTTCTCCATCATTTTGAGAGAAACACCCACGTCCAGACTACCTGTGACGGGGTCACCTCCCAACTTGGACGTCCATGTGCCGAGACGAATGTTGCCCGCCATCAGGGGTAGCAGGAGGGCCCAGCACTCCGACCTCTGTCCCCGCTGCCGCTGGGCACCTGCACTCCTGCCTGGGGGGCCTCACTTCACCCCAGTTTTGGGGGTGCTGGGTTTGGGGGTGCTGGGGGGCGGCGCTCTGCCATGCGTGATGACTTCCGTGTCCTCTTCGGGCAGCCAACCTGTCGCAGGTGACCACCGTGCAGGACCGCCGCTTCTTCCAGGCCGTCAGCCTGTTGCATTCTGACTTCGCCCGGCTGCCCACACTGTACGAGGTGACCGTCAGGTGAGCGTCCCCAGGCCGCTCCCAGCGCTGCACCCGGGGTCCCTGGCAGAGCCTCAGTCACAGCCAGATGAAGACCAGTGCGCGGACCGGCCCGGGCCTCCCCTGACTGGCTCTGCAGGCTGCTGTCATCCAACCTCAGGCTTCCCTGAGTGCTGTACGCGCCAGGTCCCTTCCTGGGGATCGGGACAGTGCTGCAGACACTGAGGGACAGCAGGGAGGGCACCCAAGGCCCTGCCCGTCTCAGCACTTCCATCAGTCACTGGGGCGGGAGGAGGGGCTGTCTGTCTTCCAACTGGACAAGCCCTGCGTGCTCCTGACCACAACATCCAGATGCCCCCCACAAACGTCTCCCAAGGGCAACGTGTCCTCCCCTCACCAGCATGTGCCCCCAGATACCCACAGTTAACAGGATGGTGTATCCCACCCCAGGTTTTCTTGGTGGTAGTTTTTGTTTTTTGCATATAAAAGGGGCTGCTGCTCAGTTGCTCAGTTGTGTCCAACTCTCTGCAACCCCCGTGGACTGTAACTACCAGGCTCCTCTGTCCATGGGATTCTCTAGGCAAGAATACTGGAGTGGGTTGCCATTTCCTTCTCCAGGGGAACTTCCCAATACAGGGATCGAACCCCCATCTCCTGCATTGGCAGGCGAATTCTTTACCGCTGAGCCGCTGGGGTAGCCCATATAAAAGACAGATGATCAGTATTTTTTATTATTTTACTGGTCTGTCTTATAAAAAAAAAAACTGGAGCACAGGCACTTGCTGTTTTCTAAGTTCCTTTTTCACTTTGTTGCATGTCTTGAACACCTTCAGGCCAGCAGTTCTAGACCTATTAATTAATGGCATTTACAATCTTTAACCAACTGAACCCTACTTTTTCTCTCTACATGCTTCTCTTATGAAACCAGTAGCAGAAAAGAAGGCAAGTTAGAGGGTCAGAAGGGGAGTGCCTGCTCTGTGTATACTGCATGTTTGTACTGTACTATGGAGTGGGTTGGTCGAGTACATTCTTTGTAACCTCATTTCATGGACAAGTATGCACAAGTATGCAGTGGGATGAATGAGTCGCCCTGGATCAGTGGCTGAGTCAGGATTTGAGCCCAGGTGTCTTGTCTCCACAGCACACGCCCCTCCACACATGGTTGTGGTTGGGGTGTTGGGGTTGTGTGTGTGTGCGTGTGTGTGTGTGTGTGTGTGCAGTGAAGTTGAGAGGTGGGGTGTGGGGTGTGGGCTCTGAGCCTGGCTGACGAGGTTCTAATGTCTATCAGGTGCCACGCACGAGTGCGGGCGTTTCTGCTGCCCAGCGCTGTTTCCAGCCAATATTTCTGTGTATCTTTCCAGAATAAATGTGCCTCCTCTGACTTTAAGTCAGAGCTGCCCATGCTGGCAACCCAGACCCATCTCCGACCTATGGACCTGCAGTGTCTCACCTTCCTTGGAGCTGAGACTTTTCATGGTGGGATACGTAGCTCATTTGAGTAACAGTAATAGAAACAGCAGCCTCCATTTCTTAACCATCTCACCACGGGCTAAGAGATTTGTATCCATCGCTACTCATTTACCATGTGAAGTCTCAGAGGGAACTGACTGCTGTCATATCTATGCTTCTGATGAGACAGCTGAGACTCCCACAGCCAGAAGGCTCGGGGCCGGCGTGAGCACCAGGTTGTACGGGGCCTCCAGAGCCGTGCTTGGAGCCCCGAGGCGCCCCTTCTCTGTGGCCCCAGCGACTGGGCCCGGGCTCGTCCTGCTGGGCCAGTGACCTCGCGGGGTCTCTGGGGTCTGAGGTCTGCCCGGTGGCGGACTGTGATCTCCTTTCTCCCCTTCACCAGGAACGCCTCCACGGCTGTGTACGCCTGCTGCAGCCCCATTCACGAAACCTACTTCCAGCAGCTGGCCACAGCGGCACGGAGCTCTGGCTTCCCGAACCCGCAGGACGGCGCCTTCAGCCTCCCGGGCAGAGCCAAGCAGAAGCTGCTGAAGCATGGAGTGAACCTGCTCTGAACCGTGGGTCGCTCCTGGCCCCCACGGGTGACCCTCAAGTCAAACCCCAGCAAAGGAGACGCTGCCTTGTTAAGCGGGAAAGCCCCTCTGTTTACTTTTCCTGGAATAGCCCTCTTTTTTAGGACTGCAATATCTTGAGTGTCTGTTACTCCTTCTGCAGATCAGGGCTGGAGGGGGTCGATCTTCGGGTCGGCAGACCTAGAGCTCGTGGTAAAGAACTTGATGGTGTGGGTGGCGTGGGGGTCAGGGTGGGGCCATGGCTCCTTCCAGCCCAGGGGCCCGGGGTCAGTGACCCCCCCATCACATGGAGCCCAGGGTGTCTGACGTTCCCTGGGTCTACTCCACCCCAGCCTTGATTAGTATAGAGACTGAGGCTGGTGTTTCTTCTAGAACCCCACTGTCCCTGGTCTAGAGTGCATGTCCCACGCTGTCTGCAGGGGGTGGGCCCAAGGCGCCTGCAGAGCCAGGAGATGGATCCGTATCCGCAGGCAGACCGCGTGCCCACTTCTCAGGCTGTCTTCACCACGGTCCTCCTAGGGGGTCGGTGCACACGAAGTGGTCGGGGATGCTGAGACTGCCTTGTCTGGATCACCCACTGGGGGAAGGGGGTGATCTGGATGACCTGGAAGGGAGCTTGGGGTGCCGGGACCCGAAGGTGGGTGATGACCGGCCGGGCCAGCCCCTTGGCTGGAAGTGGGTGGTGCTGCTGGTTGCCCTGAGTGAGGGTCCCAAACAGGAGTTTCTTAAAGGGCTTGGAGCAGAAGCAGAGCTGCTTTTCGGGGAGTGGGGGTGCTGCGTAAGAGGGGACAGCATTCTGCTCTGGCTGTCGCCAGGCCGGGGTAGGACTGAGAACATCAGTTCGGTGACGTTACAGTCTGACATTCTATGATGATACGATGCGAGTCACAGAATGAAAATACTGACCAAAATCCTAACCAAATCTTTACCGGAAGTACCTGAGACTCCATGTGAAAACTGCAGTGTAACTTCACACCAGTGAGCCAATATCTCCCGTTTATGACATGGTGTCTTTTTGAAAGAAGTTGCTAAGGGCTGAAAATAAAGTAGCCAAAAATGCTACTGACTTCTGAGTACTAAGTTCTGATGGAGATACCTGCATATAGATGTACACGCCTGTGTGTACTCTGCGTGGTCACCGTTCACTCTGCCCTGCCCGATCCAGCCAGGCTAGGAAGGAAGGGCACGGGTCAGAGCGGTCTGTGTGCAAGGGTCGGGGGCGGACAGCAGCAGCTTCAGCAAGGCTCCACCGCACACCAGGCCCGCGGCCCCCTTTCTGTCATGCCTCTGGTGTCCCTCGCCCCTGACTGGCCTAAGAGGGTGAGCTTCCCGGATGAAGGAGGACCGTAGCTCGAGCTAGGGAAATGCACGTTGTCCCAATTCTCTGCTGGACTGTCCGAGGAAAACCCCTTCCAAGACCCAGGCCAGGCTCTTCAGGCACTTTCCCGTGACTGACAGACACAGAACCCATTCCCTTCCTGTCCTGCGGCATTTCTAAGCAGCCAGACTTGCCGCTGATGCGTGAGATCGCCAAGTCCTGAGGTTGACGGAAATCTGACCTGTTATGTGCTGATGCAGGGACAGAACTCGGAGCTCCCGAGCCCGTGTTCATATCTCCCG